TCCTGTTATCCACCAATTTTCGCACTTCTTCGGCATTCCGTAAGCGCATATCTGCCAAACTGACTTGCATGGACCGGGATAAGTGGTAATCAGAAAGAGCAAGATCTGGAGAGTATGCGCATTGAACAAGCTGATCCCATCCAACAACTGCAATTTTTTAAAGGACATTCTTCGCGACATGGGGCCTGGCATGTTCGTGGTGGAACAGCACCTCATGATATTTCTTGCGATTAACGGCTGCTTTTAGGTGAGAGCATCCTACAAACTGTCAAGTTGGTGTTCGTAGCGGTGAGCAGTAACAGTTCCATTCGGGCTCAGCAGCTCATAGTAGACAACGCCTTTTTGATCCCACCACCAAATGCACACACAGCATTACTTTTTGGCAACAAACATTCCGCTTTCGCCGCAAGCTCTCCAGTGAAGAGAAACCATCTCAGCAGTTCCGTTCAGATGAAGCTTGTTCTCCATATGAGCACCGGTGGGTTTCAATGGCAGTTTTCTCGAAAGCAAACAGCAGGAGGAGGGCCTCCCGGAAAAACCATTTATCACGTTCCATGGCCAATCAGTTTGAGAGCAACAGGATGTTGGAGAAAAACTGGTCTGTCTGCCCTTAAGTATGTAGCCAATACCCTATTTTACAGAACATGACAGGTTTCACCGGTAAACCTCTAACATGCTTCGCGCAACGGCCCTTGGAATTCGGCGGCGGAAATTAATGCACACACCTAATAGTTTGTAGTAAGAATGAAACTGTGAAGCAACTGTGGAACTCAGTAATTCTCTGAACCCTGAATCTCCTGAAGTATGCCTAAAATGAATTCTTAGGTCACCTGGCTGGCTCACAATCGATTTTTTAGCTTTTCTCATCAATCTGGTCAAAGAAGTTATCAATAATACACACTCCTCGTCATTATGGGTGGGTGTGAAATGAACCACTATCACTATCGACCTCGATTTCGACTTGCACCTGCTGCTCTCATATATAGTGCCGATTCCTCGTCACATGCTCAAATTGTACGAGAAAAGATTCGCAATCGATTTGTAATTTGAACGTATTATGCGATTCGTTCGGAAATTTATTTTCTGCTCAGCTTTTCTAAGCAAAATATCATCATTATTTATCGAGTCATTAATACATATTTCACGTCTGTATTTGATTTGTTGTAATTGAATGCTTTTCCTGCGGTTCATTTCCTACACTTGAAAAAGCGCAATGAATTCCGAAAAGTGTATTGCTTACCCTTACCTTCTCTCGTTTACCCACTTGTGGGTTCTCAGATATCGGACTTTTTCTAGCTCTTTTGGAAATATCGAGGCCTTTGCGTTACTGCGATAGTTTCCAGAGTCGAGGAATCTCCACACTGATGCGAGAGGGCTGAACAGTATTCAGTGAAAGTGACCCTGTTTCGTAGTGGCAGTTAGGCTACGCACACTAACGAGTCCTTTGAAATGAGGGTTTTTTATGGGAGCTCCACCGCAACTGTATGAAGCCCTATGGGTAGTGGTGGATTCGATCTTAAATTTATATGGAAATTAAAGCCCGCTGTGAGGACGCTCCACTTGCCGCAACTTTCTCTCCCTTGATTCGTTCGTTGACCCATTCTACATTTCAGCTCATTTTCCCGGTGTCTGGGCTGTCTCGAAGCCGAACTAGTAAGTTCCGCCATTCCATGTGGACATGTATCTTGCCCTTTAGCAGCTTATATTTCTTATAATTTCAAAAAATCATGTTTTTTGACTGAATTTTTATGGAGGTGGTGTTGTGGCTAGTGTCGCGCTATCTCACGCGCATTGTCAAGAGTTTGTGTCACGTATCGTTATCCGCCTAGGCCAGTCAGAGCTTTCATCCCCCGGGACCGGGTAATTGCTACCGGACTCGCCTGGGAGAATAAAAGCTCTGACTTGTACGTCGGCTGGCCACCGCAAGTCATTGTATAGGCCATATACGCATTCAATACGCAACTACGATTCTGAATGGAAGTAGTATAAGGGGCACAACCCTAGACGAGATTGATTGGTACCAAATGACTTCAAGACCGCATCATTTAGAAAGTTTTGAACAGCGTTAAGTATTTTTTAATAAATCGCTTTCGATTTGTATACGTGTCCCGCTCATCCTGGGCGGAGCTTCGCTAAATTTACTATTTTTTTACGCCATTCATTACCTTGCTTATTTTTTTCAGAATTTCGGTTGTTATCAAAACAAATTAGCAGGTTCCACCATCCACGCTGGGACATGTCCGTGATCCATGCAGTTTAACACGAAATTTGTGTGCACAATCTTCCCATGTGCTAGATACCCTGATTGAAGATATTCTTTGAGGACACAAGGTTATTTTAGATCCACACAATAAACATCTTAAACCCCATGTATCTGACGCCAGATTGATTGTATACAACTGTATTAGTTGATTGAACTATCACAATGGGAGTAAATTAGTGGGAAAGTTTTGATCATTCTAGTCGAATCAAATGTCTGCTCTCCGTCAATAGCAATTCAAGACCAGATCGCTCTTGCATGGCAAGTCTCCAAAGCGTTAAAAACTCCGTTTCTTTGGAATTTAATCCGACGTTTTGCTATGAACTACGCTGTTTCAATTGTCGTGTTGTGCTTCATCTGCAAGTGATAAGATTGTGTGTGATTCACCTGAATTGTCGCTTTTACAGATGTTCGAGCTAGCCTTCATCGCAGTCTGTCTTCTGATTCTGGCTTATGTAGCTTTCAAATTTGCTATTAGTGGATTCTTCAGCAATATTCAGGTATGCGATCCATTCACAATTTTTTTGCTGATTTGTTTGATTTATTTTCATTACTTCGTTCGACCACTTATTGAAGTAGGGTCTAATTTTTTTTGCCACGAATTTTATGTGCTCAGAGGTCAATAAAAATGAGGGGCTGCTCAGGAAACATAGTATCTTGAATATTGGAGTAGTCTGATATGATATATGTTCACGAAAAAAAATTAAAAGAAAGAGATGAGAATGCGAACATTGAACGGTGAAAAAAGATGAGCTAAAAAGGGATGAAGAGCTGCGCCAAAATTAATGGGAAATGAGAAACAGAAATAGACAAAATTGGCGTTCAATAATTTTTATATAAGAGTAGAAAATAAGGATTACGTAAAAAGGAGGGAATGAAAAAAGACCTGAAAGGCAGTCGCAGCAGCCTTATGTAGCTGGAGTGGAGCTATGAGTTAGAACATTAAAAGTGCATCCTTGCGGGCAAAAGCTGAGGCAACATGTGGCGCTTGTGCTTATCCTATAACGTGGGCGGCAAGACTAAAAAACCGTGTGAAAGTGGTGTGGTAGACCACTGAATAGCAACATTCGTATGTTACAAAAACTATTTTGGAATGTACCACGATCGACTTTCTTTTAATCTTGGCATGACTTTTTATCGATATGTATCTTTATTTGCTTCAGCCTTTCCGAAATTCTAAACTTTATAGGGCTAACGTTTCGGCGAGTTCGCCCTCTTCAGAGCCTAAAAAGTAGAAAAAACCATTCAAACTGACTCTACAATAAGGCGAGATAAACCCAAAACAGTTCTCTAGACTAGAGACCCCTCGAACCCGGTATACAATTTTCTGACCTCACCGCAATTTCAAAATTCGCAGAGGTCTAGAAAGGGCGCGAGGTCACGGGTTACGGCCATA